TCCGTATCATCATCGCCATCATATTCTCCTCCTCCTCATCATCCCTCCCTCCTCCTCATCATCATCATCATCATTCATCATCGTCATAGTCGTCGTCGTCGTTCGTCGTCATCATCATCATCATCATCATCATCAGCATCATCATCAACATCATCATCATCATCACCACCACCACCACCACCACCATCATCATCATCATCATCATCATCATCATCATCATCATTATCCTCCTCCTCCTTCCTCCTGTCCCTTGTCCTCCACCTCCTCATTATCCGCCCGTTCCTCCTCCTCCTCCTCCTCCTTCTCCTCCTGTTCCTCCTTCTCTTCCTCCTCTTCCTACTCCTACTCCGACTCCTACTCCTACTCCTACTCATACTCCTCGTCGTCATTCTCATCATCCTCATCATCATCGTCATCACCACCACCACCATCCTCTTCCGCCTCCTCAATCAGCAGCATCAGCATCATCGACATCATCATCATCATCATCATCATCATCATCATCATCATCATCATCATCATCATCATCATCATCATCATCATCATCATCATCATCATCAGCGTCATCATCATCATCATCATCATCAGCATCATCATCATCAGCAGCATCAGCATCAGCATCAGCATCAGCATCATCATCATCAGCAGCATCATCATCATCATCATCATCATCATCATCATCACCGTCATATTCATCATCGCCGTCATCATTGTGACCAGCCGAAGCGCCATGCAGCAATGGGTGGCGCCAACGATCGGCCTGGGCTGGAACGACGGCTTTTCCACTTGGAGGATCGCTGGAGCTCCACATGCCTTGAGCCACAGTGGGCACGGTGCTTTGCCATGAATGCGTGCTCTCCGTGGCCATGCTGATGCTCTCCTCCTCCTCTTCCTCCTCCTCCCCCCAGGGTGTCCGTAGCCATGTTGGCTCAAGATGTTTGCACGAGAGGGCTTCCGCGCCCTCGTGCCTGAACGGAATAGCTCGGTTCCCCGAGCCAGACTTTCAGCGATTTCAGGATATCCCGATCCCGTCGCAAGTTGCGCGACGGTACCAGCCCCTCAGCCTACTGTTCAGTGCCTGCCATGGCGCCGCAGCAGCCTCGCACGAACTACACGATGTGCTCGACCCCCTCCTGCCGTGCTGGCAAGCAGTGGGATTGGAATTGGCGCATCCTCAAGAATGGCGGAGCGTGCTCGGTGTGTGGACAGGCGCAGCAGCTCTACTCTCCGAAGAAGAAGAAGGACAAGTCCAAGGGAGGGTCGCCGAAGGGGCCTGGGCCAGCTGTGCCTGCCGCTTTATCGCCTGCGATCTTCAGCCCTTGGGGTAAGGCGAAGCTCATCACCCAGCTTGAGGCCCTTGTGCAGCAAGATGCATCGGTTACGGCTTCAGTTCTCGCCATCAAGCAGGCAGTTGAGACGCCAGCGTTGCCAAAGTTGCGGTCGCCCTTGGAGCAGCTCCAGTCAACGGAGGCCAAGGCGAAGCAGGCGGCTACCAACGCTCACAAGCTCCTCTCGGAGATTGGCAACTTGGAGAAGCGCCTCCAGCAGGCGCGACACGACTACGACCAGGCCATGGAGGAGCTCGTGGACGCCGAGGAGGCCCATGAGGCTGCGGTCCTGGCCTACAACCAGTTTCGCTCTCCGACGGCTCCTGAGGTCAAGCACGCTGCGTCTGCGCCTGACTTCTTGGCGTCGTTCGAGGAGAAGCTCAAGAGCATTGCGATTGACGAGTACGAAGATGGAGAAGCAAAGGACAAGCTGCAGACGGCCCTCACGGCCACGGACGAGGCCAAGAACCAGGCCGCGGCGGTCATCCACGCCGTCCAGACGGCCCTCGAGGGGCCCAAGCTGGCTGCAGCCCAGGCGCCCCTCAAGCGACGTCGCGTGGAGGAGGTGGCGTCAGGCCCAGAGGCGGCGGCGCCAGGCGGTGCTGAGGGCCCCCCGCCCGCAGCTCCGAAGGCTGAAGGCGGCGGCGCGGCGGGCTCCGCAACCGGCGCCGAGGGGGCCCAGGCGGCGGCCGCGGCCTCCGCCCCAGCCGCCAAGCCTGATGCAGACGCCAAGGCCCGAGCCTCCAAGGTCCAGGCTGCACGCGAACGTCTCGAGAAGTCAGCAGCGAAGGCGAGCCCAGCCGAGAGGTCCCCTGCTGATGTGGGGGTGGCAGCTGCCCCTTCTGGCCCTGGCGGCAGCGGCGACGGTGGTCCTCCACCTCGTGCAAAGGCCCCTCCCCCTAAGAGACGGCAGCACCACACTGGATGGCGTGGATATCGACCCCTTCGAGGACATGCACTTCAGCGATGACGATTGCTTTGGCTTGGAGCTGGAGCAATCTCTTTCTTCTGCGCCCAGCTCTATGCAGGGCGCGCTTGCAGGCAGCCCCCATCTGGCCCGCTCTTCGGGGATGGGAACAGGAGCGAGCTGCGTGGCACCTTCAGCGACATCGGAGTTGGCGGCCTCTACTTCGGTGTCAGGCAGCCCCTAAGCCCGCTCTACGGGGATGGGGACACGAGCGAACTATGTCGCATCGTCAGCTCCGTTGATGTTGGCTCCGTCTACTTCGGGAGCAGGCAGCCTCCATCTGGCCCGCTCTTCGGGGATGGAGACACGAACGAGCTGCGTGGCATCTTCTGCCTCGTCGAGGTGGGCTCCGTCTACTTCGATTGCAGGCAGCCTCCATCTGGCCCGCTCTTCGGGGATGGAGACACGAGCGAGCTGTGTGGTATCTTCTGCTCCGTCGAGGTTGGCTCCGTCTACTTCGATTGCAGGCAGCCCCCATCTGGCCCGCTCTTCGGGGATGGAGACACGAGCGAGCTGTGTGGCATCTTCTGCTCCGTCGAGGTTGGCTCCGTCTACTTCGATTGCAGGCAGTCTCCATCTGGCCCGCTCTTCGGGGATGGAGACACGAGCGAGCTGTGTGGCGTCAACAGCTCCACGGTCGTCGCCTCCGTCTACTTCGGCGAAGAAGAAGGCTCCACCTCATAGTGCTGATGCGTCGCTCTTCTTTGCGAATGTCACGGAGTGGGGGCCCCGCATCCACAAGTTCGTAGTTGAGAATAAGAATAAGTATGGCATGATGGCCTTTGCGGAGACTCACGTCACCGAGGCGAAGCTTATCCAGCATCGTGCCAGCCTGGACGTTGACGGTTGGAAATTATCGGCCTGTGCTGCTGTTGGCACTGGTCGGTCTGCTGAGGGCACGAGTGGAGGAGAGTGGATTTTGGCACGGTCCCATCTTGCCACCACATCCTTCGATCGGCAGAGGGCCCTCATGACCAAAGAGCGCCTGAAGGATCCCTGCCGAGGCTGGGTGCCAACTGTTTGGCATCTACGCGCAGGCAACCTCATTGTGATCTCTGCCTATGTCTTGCCCAAGCACGGGTTTGGAGGCCTTAATCTTGACAGGCGGGCTTCCCTGCGAGCCTTTTTGGCTTCAGTATCTGACCCGTGGATCATAGTTGCGGATTGGAATCTCACCCCGAAGGTTCTTGAGGGCAAATCGTTCCTCAAGGATGTGGGAGGCACCATCGCCCTCCCAGATGCCAAGGTCACCTGTGACGAGGGCGCGGGGTCGCTCATAGACTATGTGGTGGCGTCAGTGTCGGTGGCTGACTTGGTCTCTGCCAAGGGCGTCCTCACCGTCCCTTGGAAGGTCCACTGCGGCCTCCATGTAGAGATCCAGGGCACTTCGACGGCATGGCGGCACCGCGCCCTGGCCCCGCCGCGGCCGCTTCCTGCGTTGGATCGGCCACCGACGGCCCCAGACCCTCAGAGCAAAAGCTACCAGCGCAAGCAAGCAGCGCTCCAGAGGCGCAAGGAGGCCCTGCCTGCAGGTCATCAGGATGCGTTTCAAGCGCTCCATCAGCCTCCAGATCCTCCGGCCTCGATTGGCGATGTCTTTGCAGTCAGCTTGGATCGATGGCACTCCAACTTGCCCTCTGGAGTGGATGGAGGCAGCTTGCCGAAGTACATCTTCACGGCGGAGATGCGCATGATCAGCGAGTCTCCTATTGTCGCTTGGGCCCTCGAGGGGAACGACCAGCTCTCCCAGGACTATGGCAAGTGGGTCCACCAGAAAGCTCACGGCCCATGAGCGTGTGCCCTTCGCTGGCAGGGCTCGGGGGTTTGCAGCCACTTGGAAGAAGTCGGTCTCGTCGCCTGGTCGAGGCCATTGGAAATATGATGGGGCTGAACATTGGTCGGTTACGGATACCCTCTGCAGGAGGGCCTTGGCCATCTTCCTCCACGATAAGGATGAGGAGCAGATGTGCAGTGCATTGGCCAGTGCTGCTGGTCGAGTTCAGCATCTACGCCAGCATCACTTGGATCAGCGACCTGATCTACAAGAAAGGGCCAAGACGGCTCTTGATCACATTAATCTGCTCCATGAAGGCGTCCACAGACTCACAAGCGACCAGATCGTTGAGGGCTTGTCGCAGGTCGCGGTGACAGTCGAGGCGGCTGCAGCACGTGAGGTGGCGAGGGGCATCGGCGAGGCTCGCAAGGCCTACGCCGACTGGGTCCGTCGCACGTGGCGCACCTCCCCTGGCGCCCTTCACCGACATGTTCGTGATCCTGTTGCGCCTCGGCCTGAGGATGCTACGGTGGAGACCACTGCCAGCTCCATTGCTGCCAATGCGGTGGCCGACCCCACCACGATCATGGCCAACAAGTCGGCTAAGTGGGGTAAGATATGGAGCGACGCAGTGGACACCCCAGCGAGCATTATTCAAGCGCTGGGCGCCATCCGGCAGAAAGCAGATGAGGAGGACATCCATCCGTTGCAGAGTGAGCAGCTCCAGGCTGCCATACGAGTCACTGGCAATGAGAAGGCTCGTGGAGTTGACGGGCTGGGTGCTGGCGACTTGGGCCGCCTGCCGCCCCTGGCCATCGATGAGCTCAGGGATCTACTGCAGCGCTGTGAGGCTGCCCAGGCATGGCCTTTGCAGTTGGCGGCCACCCCCTCTGCCCTTGCCCCGAAGCCGTCGGGAAAGGGCGACCGTGTGCTGGGCATGGCACCGCTACCTGCCAAGCTGTGGTCGCGGGCCCGCCAGACCTTCACGTCGCAATGGTGCCCCAAGCGTGCTGCGTTCTGGGACACAGAAGCACGAGGCTCGTCAGCCTTGCGCGCTGCCCTCCTAAGGGCGACGCTGGACGAGGCGGCCCAGGAGCAGCAGATCAGCTTCCTGGTCCTCCCCCTGGACATCGAGAAGTTCTACGACAGCGTCTCGCTGGTGGGCCTCCTCCAGATCGGCCTGGACTTCGGCTTCAGCCCGACGGTCATGGGCCTCGAGGTGCAGGTCTACACCCACCCGCGCTATCTGCGTGAGCGCGGCTGGCTCAGCGAGGCGATCTTCCCGACGCGCAGCATTGTGGCTGGCCCGTCTCATGGGGCCCCCTTCTCCAAGCTGGCTCTCTTCCCCATCCTGGAGAGGGTGCACCAGGAGGCCCCACCAGCGTCCCTGTGGACGTTTATTGATGATACGGTGGGACGATGCGAAGGCCCTGTGGAAGCTGTGCTACCTGCTATGGGTATTGTGGGCACGCCCTTGGTTCGAGGGTTGCAGCAGAATCGCTCGGTGGTCTCATCCAAGTCTGTGATCCTCGGCTCGTCGGCTTCCCTGGCCAAGAAGTCGGCAAAGAGGTTGCGTGCGAGGGGAGTTCCAGTGAAGCCAGTCTTGCAGGGTGTCGACCTCGGCGTCGACGTTGCGGCTGGCAGACGCAGAGTTTGCGCCAAGGCCATCTCGCGGCGCGTCAAGGCGCAGCGACGAGCTGGGCGCATCAAAAGGCGCAGGCGCACGGCGGCACTTGGCCGTGAGGCCCGCTGCTTGTGGGCGACTGGCGCGTGCCCGCAGTCCACATATGGGCACCGAGTCCATGGCACCTCGCCGTCGGCCCTGCTGGCGCTGCGGCGCCAGGCTGCTGCTGCCGTCACTGGTGGCCAAGGCGGGCGCTGCTTGACCAGCACGCTGGCGGCCTCCTTCGGCTTGAAGGACCCTGCGGTGGAGATCCGTCGGCAGCTGGTTCTGGAATGGCTCAGTTTCTGGCAGGCCCACCCTCAGCTACACCGACGTCTCAGACTCGTGTGGCCGTCGATTCGGGGACGTCTTGCGAAGGCTGAGAAGCGGCGCTGGAACATCGTCAGAGGCCCCATCTCGGCGGCCATTGCTACATTGATGGGTGTGGGGTGGGACCCGAAGACTGCAACGGTCTGGACCCGCCCCACTCTGGCTGGAGTTGATGAGTGGCACATCCCTTCGAGCGGCGACGAGGCGTTTGAGCACTTCGGCACCACCACGGAGCTGATCGACGACCTCATCAGTGACATCCGCTCGGCGCTCTGGTCAGAGGCCAGTAAGCATGACAATGGCGAGGGCCTTGCTGGTGGCGGCGACTTCTTCCACATCATGAGGGAGCTCAAGCGTCACCAGGCCCGTAGCCAGTATGATGAACACGGATTGAATTTGTCAGTCGTGGCTGGAGGGCAGTGGACTCGAACACGGAGGCACCTTTGCGGGTACAAGCTGGAGCCGACCACTGGCCCGCGGTGCAAGAAGCATCCTGAGACACTTTTTCACAGGATATGGTCTTGTGAGTGCAACTGCGACCACGACGACTACGAGAAGACTGCCTCGCTGCTCCCTGCGGCGACCGCGCAGCATGAGAGCCAGCCCACTTTCTGGCTCCGTGGTGTGCCCACTGTCTGCATGACCACGCCTCGGTTCGACGAGGCGCTGCTGGCCAAGCTCGAGCTTAGGCTGCCAGGCGCCTTTGAGGAATGTGAGGAAGGGGGGTGGACGGTGGTGTACGGGGACGGGTCGGGAGGGAAGCACTCGGACGATCCCCGTCGTCGGCGCTGTGGTGCCGCGATCGTGGCCCTCGCTCCCGATGAGCAGGGTGATTTTCAGGAGCGTGCTGGCATTGCGGTTCCTCTCCTCGGGCTGAAACAGTCTGTCCCGAGGGCTGAGTTGCTTGCGTTTTGTCTCATGCTCGAGTACGTTCCAGGTAATGTTGAATTCGTCACCGACCATAAGAATATAGCCAGGTCTTGGAAGTTCATCCTTGAGAATCCCAGGGCCTCGCGTCTCCAGGAGGACCTTTTGGGAGCGTGCTCGGAAGTCTTGGAGATCCAGGCCTGGCCAGCTCACGGTTCGGTGGACCCCATCTCACACTGATGAGAAAGCGAGTTTTAACAGTGAGCAAGACATGCTCACGGCCATGGGTAACATGGCTGCGGATATCTGGGCGGGGAGGGCGGCGGAGTTGGCGTGGGAGAGGGGGGTGGTGGGGGACCTTCCTCGGACCGATGCGGTCGACTCTGCTGCTGCGATGGGAGGCGTGCCCGTCGCGCGCTCCAGGATGCTGCCGCCGCCGACAAATCGTCGAAGGCGGAGAGAGATGCGGTGCCCATCAAAGCGGTCCCGAAGTCCAGAGTAGCTCGAGCTGTCGCTGCCTCCGCCCACCGCCTCCACCTGAGAGGCTCGGTGTGGGTTTGCGAGGTGTGTCTCCAGACTGTGCCCAAGTCGAGGCTCCTGGAGTTGAGCTCGAGCCCCTGTAATCCTCCCCCTCCTCCTCCTCCTGAGGCTCCTCCCCCTCCCAGGGCTCAGAGGATCACTCAGGGAATCGGTTTGAATTTGCAGGGAGTTGAGGTCCACCCGTCGCACTCGCTCGGTCGAGCGGACCAAGTCTTCCTGACCTTTTGTCACACCTGTGGGGCCTACGCTACTGTGGACCCCCGCCATCTTATTGCTGAATGCCGTCCGAGTCGGAAAGGCTCGGAAAACTTGGCCCGTTTGGGCAAGGGACTCTACCCTCGTCGCGATGGGCCCACTAAAGCTGTCAAGATGGCGATGCAGGCTCGTGAAGAGTTCGACGCCCGTCAGAGGCGTCCGAGTGTGAGCGGAGCTGGATCGTCAAACGATCCTGGCCCTGCTCCCACTGTTCTTCAGGATGCACCCGCGGGTCCAAGCCCCTAATCCCCGAAGGTGCCGTCCTCCCTTGAAGCTACTGCCCCAACAATCTCCCTGCGAGTTGGGGCGATGTGGCCCGCAGCACTGCTGCTCCGATGGAATCCCAGCTTGAATCCTCCCCCCAGGGTGAGGCCCGGCACCTGTTTTCATGCTGGCTGCTGAGTTCCCAGACCCCCGACGTCATGATTTTTTCATGACGCGACGCCCAGAGGTCCAGACCCATTCCCCGGGACCGGTTTTTCGTCCTGAGTCGTTTTTTGACGGTCCCGAGGCCCGGTGAGGGCCCTCAGAGGCCGAAAATAGCGAAAAACCTCCCGTCGTGATTTTTTCACGACTCGAAGAGGTCTGGGTTTCAGGGGCTCTGCGAAACGGAGAGGCGGCCAGCTGCCGCCACACTTCCGGGGCCGAGCGGCACCCCAACGCTTCCCAGCCCGTCCCCGGCCGCGCAGAGCGGTGGACCCTGCGCGTGCGGTCGGCCCCGGGCTCCGCTGGAGGCGAAGCTGTGCACGACCTCCTCCGGCAATGCGGGGCCCGAGCTCGGCCCAGGAACGTCGGCCGCGTTTCCAGGGCACGGTTCGTGCGCACGGAGGAGACAGATCGCGCCAGCTCGAGCTTGCAGGTGCGGCTGGCGAACTGCGCCTGATGATCGTAGATACAATAAACCAGGACACATGCGACGCCCCAGAAAGCACTCAGCGAGGACGCAGCTGATGTGTGCCGCCGCGCCACGGGCGTTTCTCTTGGGCTCGTGGAGGCTCTTGCGTCGCGCCAGCAGACGTACATCGCACCGGCAGGAGTTCTCTTGAGACTCGCTGGCCCTCCTTACCCTGCACCTGCAGAGACAGAACGTGGGGACGCGGTGGCCTCAGGAGTGGCGGCGTCACCACTGAGTTTGTCCCATGTCACTCACAGAATGGCGTGTGCGTTGTTCCGTTAGAACAACAAGCGCAACGATGTAAGACAAACTGTTGCCAGTTGGATTTGTCTTTCACTACACGTATGAACAACTAGCCCTATGGAGAGTTGTACATGTAATCAAGGACCGCTGGGTGAGGTGATGGACGTCTCAGGTGCCAGACAGAAATTGATGCATTATCTGTAGAATCCTTCCACCCATCGTCATCATCATCTGCATCAGCATCATCATCATCATCATCATCAACATCATCATCATCCATCGTCGTCGTCATCATATCACCACCATCATCATCGTCATCGTCGTCATCGTAATCGTGATCATCCTCCTCACCACCACCACGACCAGCACCATCATCATCCTCATCATCATCATCCTAATCAGCGTCATCGTCGTCGTCACCATCATCTTCGTCATCTTCATCATCATCGTCATCAGCATCATCATCATGATCACCATCATCATCGTCATAATCATCTTCATTATCATCCTCATCCTCATTATCCTCCTTGTCCTCATCCTTGTCCTCCTCATCATCATTACCATCATCCTTATCGCCATCGTCATCATCAACAGCAGCATCACCATCATCAACAGCATCTCATAATCGTCATCGTCATCGTTGTCATCATCGTCATCGTCATCGTCATCATCATCCTCGTCATCATCATCGTCATCATCATCAGCATCATGTTCATCATCAGCAGCAGCAGCATCATGATCATCAGCATCATCTTCTTCATCATCATTAGCATGGCCAGCGCCACCATAGTTCATCCTGGCTCAGGATGCCACGTACTATAACAGGCCTACCAAGTCAAGGTGACATACAATCACTCGAGCGCGTTTAAAACGAGTTGGGTGGACAAACATTTATGGCAAGAGGGGCTATGCAATCGTTTAGCGCGATGGTCTCCGCAGTGGAACATGGCACTGAAATCCCGAATCACGACCTTCATAATGCGTCTGGCAAGCTATGCCGACGACGACACTTAATAACGCCAGCATCGATCGCCCACACCGCTCGGGTATGTTTCATATTCGTAAAACCTTCGAACGCCGTGAGCAATCCCGCGCCGGCGAGACGGGCACGTCCGCAATCCAACGATGCTGAAGGCCAGCTCCCAAAGAACACCACCGCACTGGCATCCGAAGAACACTGCGGGCAGCCTCTCTCCGTGCGCCGCCAGGCAGCTATCAAAGAAACAGACGCGTCCCTCCTGGTAAGCTTAGTACGCCAGGCCCAAAAAGCCTCACTACTCCAAATATCTGGCGTATCGCGGAAACCCTGAACTCCCCAAAAAGGCGACGCATTGGGGGGCGCATCTTTTACTTCCGGCGCCTTCCGCCGAGTTTCCTGCGGCGGCGGAGCCACCCTCGTTTTACTTCCGCCGCCTTCTGCCGCCTTCCACCGAGGAAGCGATGGCAACTCTTTGGATCCTCCAAGGCAAAGCGGCCCTTTCTGCAGTGACAGGAAGCTGCCAATGCGTGCGGCCACTGCCTCAAAAAACCATGGGAGTAGTTCTCGTCATCCTGCCGGGCCGTCGCACGAGCTTTCGCATGGCCCTTGAAACGTGCCCAGAGGAGGACGACACCGATCTCCCCAATCGCACCAGTGGCCCGTGCCGGCATGCACTACACCATCTGTTCTGCGTCGTCTTTCGCTCAGCGCCTGCGCCGTCTCCGCGAGGGCTCTTCCCCAGAAGCAGCACGCAGCTCGGAGAAGGCGACTGCCGCTGGAAGACCAGAACCATCGCCCTCTACAGGCGTGTTCGAATACAGACAAGAGACATGATGGAGCCTCGGTTCTTAGCAATGCTCAGCTAACCAACGTTGAGTACTAATCAAGCATGTCCTGCCATTACAGAGCATCGCACCCTCATATGGTCTGTACTTCAGTTTCCAAGCTTTTCCGTAGCAGCCGAAGTTCCCACCTCCGCGCATACATCACGGTGTGCCTGGGTAAGTGCCACGTGCTGCTTCCGAGCTTGGCGGAAGACACAGGTGCGGACCAAGCAAACAATTTTCCGTTCTAGGGCGCCCTTCCAAAGAAATGTTCCCAAACCTCCCCTTGCCCAACCTGTGTTCCATGCTGGTGCCCTTGTCGCTGTGTGATCGAACAAGATTCCGGGCTGTCTGACTGTTCGAGCCTGCTCGAACTTCGTGGCTACCATCCCTGAGCGCCACTTGCAACGGCGTTTCCCCAGCAGCGAATAGCGAGCTACAGAGCATGTATTCCAGGGACGTGTGCTTCCAATGGACTCCAGCACTCTGGATGGCCTGGGTCAGACCCGACACCACGCAACCGAACTGCCACGCGACGCGAAAAACAAGTCATGGTGTCAGCACAGGCCAAATGGGCAAGCAGCAGAGGAGGCGCTTTCGCAGAATCAGCAGAATCGAGCGCGTACCAGCGCCGCAACCAACTGGTGACAACGGGCGCCATGACGAAGTCAACCGTGCAATTGAACTCGTCCAGAGTTTCAACACCTCCCTGCTTTCGGCCACGCTCCAGTGGGCATCGTCAGAAACGCCAGCCCCAGGCAACTGGATACGGCAAGCCATGCGAGACGCTTCCCGCATCAGGGCTGCCACCAATCCAGAATGGAGACGGCGGCCCAGCATGCAGAGACTTGCACACGTTCGTGCCCCATCGTGTCGAAAGCGGTCGCGGTCGACCCCAGCGATACGCGATGAACAACATGTTGCCTCGCGCAGGCGGCAGCGTTGTCGCATCTGCAGCCAAGGTGGAAGCTCGAAAAGTCATGTGGAGTTTGGGACAACGACTGCCCAAGTGGCGGTACAGGTCCGTTCGACACGAACGCCCATCCAAGAAATTCGAGAGCCTGAATGAACGAAGTCACCTCCCGC